GTAGAGGAGGATGATCACCTCCCTGCTCCTGCTGGCTATTTCCATTCCACTATTTCTAATGCAGACCAGGATGCCATTGGCTCTCTTGGCCACCTGGGCACACTGTTGGCTCATGTTCAGCTGAACATCAACCAACACCCCCAGGTCCTTCTCTTCTTCACACTCATCCAGCCACTCATCCCCAAGCCTGTAGCGCTGCGTGGGGTTGTTGTGCCCAAAGTGCAGGACCCGACACTTGGCCTTGTTGAACCTCATCCCATTTGCCTCAGCCCAGTGATCCAGCCTGTCTAAATCCCTCTGAAGGGCCTCCCTACCCTCAGGCAGATCCACACCACCTCCCAGCTTGGTGTCATCTGCAAACTTACTGAATCCCCTCATCTAGGTCATCAATAAAGATATTAAACAGGATGGGCCACAGTACCGAGTCCTGGGGAACAACACTTGAAACAGGTCGCCAGCTGGACTTCATTCACCACTACCCACTGGGCACGGCCCTCCAGCCAGTTCCTTACCCAAAGAAGCGTAAACCTGTTCAGACCATGGGCAGCCAGTTTCCCCACAAGAAGCCTGTGAGAGACCGTGTCAAAGGCTTTGCTGAAGTCTAGGTCGGCTACATCAGCAGCCCTTCCCTCATCTACCAGACTGCTCACCCAGTCATAGAAGGAGATGAGGCTGGTCAAGCACGACCTGCCTTTCACGAACCCGTGCTGGCTGGGCCTGATCCCCTGGACACTGCGCACATGTTGTGTAATCTCATCCAAGATGTTTTGCTCCATTACTTTCCCTGGTACCAAAGTCAGGTTCACAGGCCTTTAGTTCCCCAGATCCTCCTTACGGCCCTTCTTGAAGATGGGAGTCACATCAGCAAGCCTCCAATCCTCTGGGCCCTCACCAGTTAACCAGGAGCATTGATAGATGGCCGAGAGGGGCTCGGCAATCACCCCCACCAGCTCCCTCAGCACCCAAGGGTGCAGCCCATCCTGTCCCATGGGCTTGTGACAGTCCAGACGGAGGAAAAGCTCTCAGATTGTCTCCATCTGAATCCCTTGGGGCATATTCTGAGCAGCATCTCAGACTACCAGATCAGGGCATAAAATGCCCTACAGTACTCAGCACAGCCTGTTCCTGCACCTGCACAAGGTTTCCATCTTGAGGAGCATCCAGGCTTCCTGGACCCCTTTACCCTTGAGAAGCGACTCCCAAGGGACCCGTGCTACAAGAGCCCTGAACAGGTCAAAGTCCGCCCTCTGGAAGTTCAAGAAGGCAGTTTTGCTGGTCACTCTTTTCACATCCCCAAGAATGGAGAATTCTACAATTCTGTGGTCACTCTGCCCAAGACGGTCCCCAACCTTCACTTCTGCCACCAGTCCTTCTCTGTTGGAGAAGACCAGGTCCAGCAGGGCACCGCCCCTGGCAGGCTCTACTACCAGTTGCATAGGAAGCAATCTTTCACACAGTCTAGAAACCTCCTGGACTGCTTCCTCTGTGCTATATTATATTTCCAACATATATCAGGGAAGTTGAAGTCTCCCATCAGAACAAGTGCTGGTGATCCCATGACTTCCATGAGCTGCTCATAGAATGCCTCATCCAACTCTTTGTCCTGATTAGGTGGTCTATAACAGACCCCCACCAAGATGCCACCCCTACAGGCCTTCCCCCGATCCTTACCCATACACACTCCACTCTATCATTCCCAACCCCAAGCTCTTCAACCTCAAAACAGTCTTTAACATCAAGGGCCGCACCACCACCCTTCCTTCCTCATCCATCCCTTCCGAAGAGCTTGTAGCCATCTATCACAGCACTCCAGTCATGGGAGTGGTCCCACCATGTTTTGGAAATAGCAACAAGGTCATAATTAGCCTGACTCACAATCGCTTCCAACTCTTCCTGCTTGTTGCTCATGCTGCGTGCATGGTATAGACACATTTCAGACGAGTCATCTGCCTCACCCCAGCTCAAGCATCGTTCCCCTAGGCTCATCTCTTGAGAGGCCTGTTTTGTCCCCTTCCCCCTTCATAGCTATTTTAAAGCTCTCTCAATAAGCCCTGCTACTTCGTGCGCTAGTATTCGTTGTCCCCTTTGAGATAGGTGGGTTCCATGGACAGACAACAAGCCAGGGGCTGAGTAAACTGCCCCATGATCAAAGAACCAAAAATTTCTGGCTCGACACCAGCCTCTGAGCCAATTATTCATCGCCTGTGCTTTCCGATCCCACTCAGTCCCTCACTGCCCCTGAAGGTATCGAGCAGAAGATCACTTGATCTCCCGCTCCTTGAACTAAACGCCCTAAACCCACACCTCATACAAGTGAAGTCCCTGCCACTCTCCCCAGGCAGAAGTAGGCTCAGGCACTCCTTGCAGCCAGAGGCCTGAACAGCAACATTTCTCAGCAAGCTTTCCATCAGGGTTGCCACAGTCTTAGAATGAGACCACTGTCTAGTGGAGACCATGTTTCAGCCTGGGGCCTCAGGGACTGCCAAGGAAAGCCGGTCTCCTGAGCAAGTAGGAACCAGAGCTTACAATTGTCACCACTGGACCACCTCCCACACACACAGATGTAGCACCCTATGGGAAGCGTGGGCTGTGCTCACTCACTGATCCTCCCCTTTCTCAGTGAGCACAAACAAAGGCTTCTCACCTGATGCAACTCGTGGGTGGAAGCTAGCTATCAGGTGTGAAGGTGAGGGCGGGTATTTAAACCGTGCTGCTAAAATGGCAGCTCCACTCCTGGTGACTCAGGAGCCTGCCCACAAGCTGCTGGCTCCCAGCATAAGTGCAATGCTGATGCTAGCCACAAGGAAGCCTTAAAAAAGCCTTAAAAAAAGCCCTAAAAAGAGCTTTTTGGTTGTCCTTTCTTTAAACCAATAGCCAATTAGACTCGATTCCCACATTCACACCACTCACACCTTGCATCCAATAGTCAGCATTCACATCACACAGCAGCCGCTTATGAAGTCTCCATTGCTGGGTAATGGACTCTGCCTACTTCCCCAGGGCACAGGAACACCAAATTCCCTGGGCAAGAGCTATAACCAATGTCCCAGCAACAACAGCACTTGTATTGTATGTGGAATTCCACAAGCACTCATTTTATAACAGACACACTTAATAATCACAAAGATAACCACAATGAAAAACCAGTTTGGACGTTTACTTGTTACATGATCCTACCAGGCCCCTTCCTGGCAGCTAACTGCAAATGCCCCCAATACATTTCTGTTGTGATGATTTTTCCAAAGTATTTCAAAGCTTACATTCCTGAGCACATTATAGCCTCACTCCTGCAAGATTTCACCCGTGAGGTTCTTGGAATTCTCAGGATACCACCTCAAGTGGGACCCTGCTCCCAAGGGTTGTCCTCCCACAAGGATCGCCATGACCGAACCTCCAGCTATGGATCCACCCTCAACGGGAGCACCCTCGCTCCTTCACCCTTCAAGATGCATAGAGTTTAAACATTGCCAAATGAAACTAGGAGCCCACTTTTGCCCCACAGAAAATGCAACAGAACAGGAAGCACTCTTCCCCAGACACAAACCCCCGGTTAACCCGAGGGCAGTTCCTTCTTACTGACCTTAAAATCTGTAGATCTACAGCAGCGAACAGCAGAGCTGGCCCTCGTATAGCACAGAGCTTAATCAAAGGAACAAAGGAGACCTAGCAGAACGGGATTCTTCATTAGTGTAACAAAACGCAGACCCCATCCCTCCCCGCCTACTCCCCTCCCTCCCCCAGGTGCAGATGTGCCATGAGAACGAGCTGTGAAACTGCCCAAGGCCCGGCAGCCGGCTCGGGGCGTGCTCGCTGTGGGAATTGCTGCCTGCACCTGAGGCTGTGCCGAAGCGGCCAGAGCCTGGCCGGAAGCCGTCCGGGCAGCACGGCGGTGGCAGGAGGAGCAGCGAGGCCGTGCTGCGGCCAGCTCCGGGCTGAGGGCACTCGGCAGCCTCTGCTCTCCGCGACTCCCAGGAGCCCGGTTGCCCGCATCAGAGGCGGGAGCAGCCTGCTCCGCACCCAAGGTAGGAGCCCTTCGCGGCTCGTGCAGAGCAGCTGCAGGCATTTTTCTCTTCATATTGAACCCCATTTCGAAGCACGGACTGGGGAGGGCTGCAGCACTGCTTGAGGACTAGTAGATGACCTGCAGCTTTCGGAGGTCAAGAAAGAATCAGGTTCTTTTTAAATTAGGGGACAGACTTCTTATCGTCAAGCGGTATTAATGCTAATTCGATTTTGTTTCGTAGTAGTTGTTTTTTGGTTGCTTGTATCCCTTACTCTCGTTGATCTGTGTGCTTTTTTATACCCATCCCCTCACGCTGTGTGGGACTGTCTGCGAGCTGCAGGAAGTTCTCCCTCCCCTGGCGAGCAGCACCACGAGGGGACGGGAGCAGCGGGTCCCAGGCGTGTTGCTGCCCGGCTTGGGCTCCGAGGTGCGCAGGAAGGGGTTGGAGCTGGAACAGCGAGGAAGTGAGCAGAGGAGCTCAGTGCGCTCTGCTGCCCGGTCGGTTCTCTGTAACACAGCCCAGCTGGGACTGCGTTTCTCCCTGTGGGCCATGGGAGACACGAGATGACCTCGCTCTGCTCCTCTGCACGCATGGATTGATTGATGGAAGCATTCAACTCCCCGATGCCTCCTTTTGAGTGTCAGAATGCAAAGCCTCCGAGGGGGGAATTTTCATTCCCCCGCCCACGGCAGCCCCCAGTTTCCTCGCCCTGGTGGGAGAGGAGGGAAATTTACCGCCGAGGCATTCCTGGTGCAATGGAGGAACTGGGCTTGTTTAACGAGGAGAAGGGAAGGCTCCGGGGAGACCACATTGTGGCCTTCCAGGACGTGAAAGAAAAGCATAAACTAGTGGGGGAACGGTTTTTTATGAGCGTGTATAGTAATGGGACAAGGGAGAATGGTTTTAAATTGAGACATGGGAGATTTAGGTTAGATTCAGAAGATGTTTTGCAGTCAGAGAGTGGTGACACACTGCAAGATGTTGCCCAGGGAGGTCGTGGATGTCCTATCCCTGGATGCATTCGAGGCCAGGCTGGATGTGTCTCAGGGCAGCCTGGTGTGGTGGATGGTGACCCTGCGCATAGCAGGAGGGTAGAAACTAGATGGTCATTGAGGACCTTTTCAACCCAGGCCATTCTATGTTTTTGTGAATACCTTGAGATCTTCACTGTAGCACATCACCTTAGAGAAGCTCACAAAGCTCCAAACGAACCCTGGGTCTCTTACAGAAGACCTGTGTCAGCAAGGTGTCTTGACATGAAGCTGAGTGGGATCTCTGTAGAGGTGTGAAATTGAGAGCCATCCCTGACTGTGGGGAGATCCTGTCGTGCAGCCCTGGCTGTGCAGGAGAGCTCAAGGGGCGCTTGGGCTGCTCCCTGTTTAGGGGTAAGATGACTGCCTCCTTGCTATGCATTGTCTTTAGGCACACAGTCCATGTACCCTCAGCTGTTGAACGTGGTGTCAGTTCTTTGTGCCACCCAGTTGGAGTCAGCTTTGTGATTTGTAATCAGCTTCAGGCAGAGCGTTACCAGTGCTGTTGCTGCTTGTGTTCCTGTGCAAGGCCTGCTGTGCCATCCCCCAGGCAGTGCCCTGCAGATGGGCTGTGGAGGGCTGGGCTGGGACAGGGACTGCTGCGTTCCCTCACAGCTCCCCTGCCATTTCTCTTGTCCCTGCAGGCTCCAGTTCAACTCTGCCTTCTAGCCGTGATCATCTCAGGTGCAGGAGAGCAGCAGATGGCCACAGCACATGCATCTCAGGTAGGGGCTGGGGGAAGCAGGCAGGAGAGGCCGAGGGGCGAAGGATGTGAATGCAGGGGGAGAGGGAGGTGGCCTCAGCCAGCGTGTGTGTGCTGGGGCCAGAGAAGCGGCTGGGACGGGAGTTTGTGTCCTGTGTGAGCTGCTTCCCTGGGCCTTGGCTGTTCCCAGCAAGGAGCCTCTTTGCTTGCAGGAGCCCGTGAGCTTTGCGGAGGTGGCCGTGTCTTTCAGCAGGGAGGAGTGGGCACTGCTGGACTCTGCGCAGCGAGCGCTGTACCAGGACGTGATGCTGGAGACGTACCAGTGCGTGGCCTCGCTGGGTGAGGGCTTTGCTGCCTTTCCTCCTCGTTAAGGCACCTCTGGCTGTGCAGAATGAGCCTCTGCAGGCCGGGCCTAGAATGATCACCATGCTGTTCCATACTAGTAACTGTAACATCAATAAAAGTTATGTAGAGAATTGTGAGTTTCAGAAGGGATTAGTATGCACACCAGACTCATAAACGCCCCTGAGTCAGTTTTGGCAAGCAGGCCTCAGCTAGGAGAGAGAAAACCAGGCTTTCTGTTGCTGCATTAAATGTTGCCACCAGCTCCAGCTAACAGATGACTCCCTGCTTACTCCTTTACAATGTAGGATTTTGCTTTCAATTGCCATAAACATTTTGATGCCTTGTTCTCTGATATTTGTCAGAAAATAAACAAACTGTTCTCAAGTTCATTTTGAAGAAAATATCCCTTTGGAGTTTTCAGAGTTGTAAAAGCATTTTTTTCTCCAAAGGAAGCTGTGGGCCCAGTGTCATTCAGGCCCAAAGTGAGATTTCTCCCTGGGGAGGGGGCACAGAGCGGAGCTGTTGAACAGGCACTGTGCCAGAATGATAGAATTGTTCTCATCTCTCCTGTTTTTCTCATTGAAGCTCCACTTCCAGCTCCCAAACCCATGGTGATATCCCTGCTTGAAGGAGGGAAAGAGCCCTGGATCCCAGATGTGTGTAGCCCTGAGGCCGTGCCAGGAGACCTCAGCCCAGGTGAGGTGGTGGAGGGAAGGAGGAGGTTGGGTCTGAAAGAGCCATCTCTGTCTGTGTTTTATTTTGGGCACTGTGTGCTATTTCTGGATTTCTTCTTTCATCCAGCAGGAACTGGGATTGCAGATGTACTGGAGGACCTGGAGGAAAGTGGTGTGGCCGAAAGGCGGTGGGGTGGTGTCTGTGTGGAAGAAATCAGAAGTGATGTCCAAGGAGGCCTGGAGCAAGGTCAGGGTGAGCAGATCATGGAGCCACTGGGAAAGGGTCTGGGAAAGATAGGGAGGAGCCTGTTGGACTTCAACATAGGTCAAAAGGAGCCTGAGGAACCCAGGAGCAAGAATGTGTGCCAGCAGAAAAAGCAGAATCCATGCACTGAGTGTGGAAACAGCTTTGAGGAAGATTCCAGCATCATTAACCACCAGTGCATGCGCTCAGCAATGAGTGCAAACAAGTGCTCTGATTGTGGGAAGAGCTTCAGATGGAGATCCCACCTCATTGTCCACCAGCGTGTCCACACAGGAGAGAGACCCTACAGGTGCTCTGAGTGTGGGAAGAGCTTTACAAGCCATTCTGGTTTAATGAGGCACCAGCGGATCCACACAGGGGAGAGACCTTACAACTGTCCTGAGTGTGAGAAGAGCTTTATGAGAAGTTGTTCTTTGAAGTTGCACCTCCGCATCCACACAGGTGAAAAACCGTACAAGTGCTCTGAGTGTGGGAAGAGCTTCACAATGAGTTCTGATTTAAAGATACACCAGCGCATCCATACAGGGGAGAGACCTTACCAATGTCCTGAGTGTGAGAAGAGCTTCAAAAGCAGTTCTGAATTGAAATGCCACCATCGCATCCACACAGATGAAAAACCCTACAAGTGCTCTGAGTGTGGGAGGAGCTTCAAAAGCACTTCCCACCTAACTTACCACCAGCGCTTTCACACAGGGGAGAGACCCTATAAGTGTCCCGAGTGTGGGAAGAGCTTCAAAAGCGGTTGTGAATTAAAACGCCACCAGAGCATCCACACAGGGGAGAGACCCTATAAATGTCCTGAGTGTGAGAAGAGCTTCACAAGAAGGTCTAATCTCAACACCCACAAGCACGTCCACAGTGCATGCAGGCTGTAGAACAATCACAAGGTACGGGGAACCTTCAAAAGCAGTTCCAGCCTCATTACCTACCAACACAGCCACACAAGATACAGAACCTGCAGAGCTCCAAAGGTGGGAAGAGCTACAGCCAGAGCCCCAGCATGATGACCACCTGTGGCTTTGTGTGGTGATGAACCTTACAAATCTCTTGAGTAGAGGAAGAGCTCTGTGGCCAAACTCAATCCTCTTTCTCCTTCATTGCATGAGAATAACACATATTGCTGTCCTTCAGCTGGAGTTTCTGTGTTGAGTGGCCACGCAAAGGAGAATCCAGAGTGGGATGTCTCACTGGAAACCTTCTTCCAGGTGGCACGTTTCGGCCAGGGCTGCATGAAAGGAGAGTCACCTCTTACCTCCCCTGCAGAAACTCCTGTGCTATGGGGCAGCAGGTGAGGACCCAAAAGAAATCTCTGCTGGCCTGATATGTCACCAGGAAGGAAGAAATCCTGTCTGCAAGCAGTGTGGGAAGAGCTTCATCTGGAGCTCAACCCTCAGTCGACCCCAAAAATCCAACCAGAGGAGAGTCCCAGTGAGTGCCTTGACTGCAGGAAGAGATCTGTCCAGAGCCTGCACCAGTGAGTTCATGTGGCAGGAAGTGTTAGAAATGCCTCAAGTGTGAGAAGGGCTTTGTGCAGAGTGCAGAGCTCCTCACTCACAGGAGATGGCACTCGTGGAAGAAGTGCTACAAATGTCCCATGTGTGGGCAGAGCTTTTGCCAGGGGATCCACTCAGTGCAGAGACCCTAGAAATGCCTGCACTGCAGGAAGAGCTTCATCCAGAGCTCGATCCTTACTAAACATTGTCCAGTCCATGTGATAAAGTGGCCCTGCAAGTGTCCCTGGTGCAGGAAGTTTCTCTCTGGGCTGGCAACTCCTTTCCCATGGGAAAACCCCCAGCGGAGAGACAGCGAGGATGCTGTTAAGCCCAAGGATGAGGGAGACTCAGATGCTTCTCCCCACACAGGACGATTTTGCAAAGGAGATGGCACCACTGGCACTCTCTGCAGAAGGGACTTAACCCAGGAGCTTAAGATGGTCTCTCTTGCTACCCAAAGCAGTTGGGTAAAGCATGCCCAGTTTTTTCTGCTCTTCCTGACAGCAGCTTTTTGATACTGTTTCCTAAGGAGAAGCATCTGTGTAGGGATGTTCTGTGTGTCTGTGTGCATGTGTTGCTCTCAGTAATTTGTGAGTGCTCTGATGAATCTGAGAGAAGGGTCAGGAGAGCAGTAACGTGGCTCTTGCAGGTTTTCTGAGAATCCTCTGTAGAGGAAAGGGAAGGGGGTCAATAAAGTATCTGAGTTGTTCTGAAGCTTTCTTCACTGCAGTCTTGTATTTTGTTGTTAAAATAAATGTCAGCATGTGGAATGAGGAGAGGGAAAGGTGCAATCAGGATTTGGTTTTGGTTTCTCCTCCAGCCCACTGATTGCTTCTGGAGAAGACATTTCTTTCACATGACCCTTCCTAACCTTCATAACCTTCCTAACCGTGCTGCACAGAGCAGCTGTGTGACACCAAGCCTTGTTTGCCTCCAATAAAGCTACAAAAAGCTGAGCTTGTTCTCCAAGTTTCAGGAGGTGGTGGGAGCAGAAGGCAGTGCAAACCCACATGGTGCACAAGCAGCTCATCCCCACAGCACAGAGATATCAGAGTGCTCTCCTGTGCATGCTTGCCTTGCAGGTGATCCCTTTTGAGCTTGAAGGTTTTTGGTTGACCTTGGGAAGGTGTATCCACAATCTCCCACAGCAGATCCTTCACATTTGCTGTGCTCTGGTAAAGCTGCTGTGCTTGGAATGCAGTTGGCAGGATGTGGAGTTGATTTTGGTGAGCTAGTGAAGCCAGCAGGAGCTTGCCCATGTCTTCAGATGAGGTTCTCTGAAGGCTTCCTGACCCCCCAGCAAGCTGCAAGGAGATGATGATTGCTGCACCGAGGTGTGCTGCTTCCTCCATCCCAGGAAGCAGGGCCTGGTCTGGTGCAAGAGAGGTACAGCAGGGCCACAGAGGACGGGCCAACACACAGCTCCAAGAGAAAATGTGTGGGGAGGGAGCAGGAAGCTTCAAGATATTGGGATCACCACGAACAGGAGACAACGGCTCAGCCAAGAGTTAGGGTGATTTACTTTTCAACTGCATCCAATAATTCCTTTCATGTGGTATCAGGCATGTGTCTCCCCTTCCCTTTTACGTTTCCCCAAACAGCATTTTCACTTTTTTTTGTTTTCATCTTACATTTCTATTCTGAGAAATATAGTGCAGGTTTTCCCTGAAATGAAAATAAAAATGATTTTCCACTTTCACTTCCTGAAACATTTTCTTAACTGCGGATTCCGCCTAATATTGTGTCACATGTCACATTTATTTCCATTTAGTTATGCTAAGTTTCCATTATTTCCACTCCTCCTGCTTCCCTTGCTGGGGAGCAAGCTCTCTGGAATGATTGCCAAGTCTTTAAACTAGGTCCAAAGAGGCAAGAGAGGGGAATTCAGTGTGGCAGAGAAGGGCTGAGGGATGTTATCACTGTGGGAGATAGCAGGGAAAAACCTCTGAGCTGTCCCATAGGATCATACAGGGACTCCTCAGAGAAGGTCATGTTGCCAATACTCCATCCAAAATCCTCTTGCACCCTCTAGGGGTAACTGCACCTGCTGCTTCCCTGCAGTGCCTGTAGATCAGTGTGCATAGCATGGGAAATGAACAGGATGAGCTGGAGATCTGTGTACAGACCTTAGAAGTGATTCTTTCTGCACAAGCTGGCAGCTCAGCACTCACCTCCAAAGGTGGTGCTGTCTTGCCTGAGACGCTGTGAGAATCCTTCTATTTTATTTTATTTTTTTTTGGCTCCAAGCTTGCTTCCTGAGGTATTTCTTGTGATAAGACTGACTTGTCTAGAATATGAGTGATGGGTGCTGTTGTATGGCAATCAACATCACTGTGTGGACAATTTTAGCTGTTTGCCTTCAGAAGATAGTGCTCAGGACTGTTTACTGGCAGAAGACCTAGCGTGTGAGCAAATAACTCCTGTTTGCTATGGGAGACTGGGGGACGATGCCATTGCATCCTGTGAAGGCAAGATACAAGTTGGTGCCTCCCTGCTCCCTCTTATCTGCTGGCAAGGCCAGGAGGATAGGAACAAAGGAATTTGCTGCTGAGATCCCAGAGCCAGAAGCTGCCACTCCAAGGAGAGCTGACTCAACCACTTTGGATTGAAGCTGTCACTCCAGAGACACCTGACTCGACCACTTTGAAAGCACTGAAAAGGGGCCATCATTCTCGTCGTGGTCATCGTCAATAGAACAACTCTGCCTGATGACACACCACTACTGAAGAGCAAAGACTGAACTGCGAACCTTGCTGGATCCATGGTGGTGACTATCTCCCTCTTGCTTCCTATAAAGACTCATTGCTTCTTCTTTCCCATCTTTCCTATCGCCCTCCTTCCCTTCCCCATCTGACGGAGACCAGCTCAAGACACCTGAAACAGACGGGCTTAGGCTCTGGTGGCACAAGAAGCAAAGTTTATTGTTATTACAGGGTTTTTATATCTTTTAGCTACAGGAGTATACAATACTTAAATCAGATAACATTCATGCAGCTGACAGCAATACATCATTACTTAATTAGCTCTTTGTGGATTATGGTCAGTACAGTGATCAAAAGGTGTTCTCTCCACAGAACATGTTCTGCTCTTGGTCACGGAACGAAGAAGCTGTAGCTTATGCTTGCCAGTTTCACATGGCAGTCCTTCCCTTTCAGGAGGGGCCGCATGTTCCCTGTTTGACCCTTTCAGGCCAGCCAGGTCTGTTTTGCTTAACAGTCTTCCTCATTCCACCCTTTTCTATTTTATTAGACCAGAGGTGGTGGTGGTTTATTTTTCATTTGTTCCAATTTAACCTTTTTGATTTCAATTTGTATTGCCTGCAATTGTCGAATTACCAAACGTATTACACAGGGGAGTAATATAAGCCCTATCAACACAATTACAATCATCAAGCATATACCATAAAACCATTTCTGAAATGACGAGAACGAAGGGAAAGTAGCCTTAAGTGTTCTAACAAAGTCTTGAGCCTGTGACATCTAGTTTATGTGCGTTCATTATATCTTGTATGTGCTGTTGAAGCTCTTTCAAGTCCAAAGAAGTATTTGCGTTGTCCCAAATACCTTGTAAATGACTTTGGATTTTCGACCAAGGAAATCGAGAGCAGTTATACTCTACTGGTGTGACGCATATCGATGTATAGTCTGCATGGCAAATTAAGGATTCTTTGATTTGCATGGTTTCACATGGAGGAACTTGAGGGGGCAGTCTCCATGGACCTTTAGTGTACATTGTAAAATTCAGGCAATAAAAGTTCATAGCCCAGTGTATTCCTGTTGAAACATTAGTATCCCAATCATTTTGCATTATAATTTGTTCACACAATGGATTCATCTGGGTTAGAGTCAGTCTCTGCATCTTCCTCCGCAGTTTTCCCATCTTTGTTTTCGGCATGACGGACGTATCTCTCCGGTATCCACCATGGTGAGGTTTCATCTGTAGGGAAAACACAAACATATCCTCTGCCCCAAATTAGTACAGGATCAGGACCATAAGTTTTACCGTCCATTGGATTTCTCCAATATGCTATTGGTTTATCTCTTGTTTTATTACTCCAATGTCTATCCGCAGCCAATTTTCCATCATCATCCAGTGTCAAAAAATTTAAAACAAATAATGCATGTGATAACATAGAGAACGGAGTATCTTTAATTCCCCATGTCCCCCTTTTTATTTTCTTTAGTTGAGTTGTCAGTAAATGATTAAATTTTTCTACTATGCCTTGGCCTTCTGGATTATATGGAATTCCAGTTTTATGGTAAATTTTAAAATGTCAACAAAAGGTTGCAACCACTCTCTCACCACTCTCTCTGTAAAGAACTTCCCCCTGACATCCAAACTAAATCTTCCCTCCCTCAACTTAAAACCATTTCCCCTTGTCCTGCTGTCATAAACCCTTTCCAAGAGTTGATTCCCCTCCTGTTCGTAGGCTCCCTTTAGGTCCTGGAAGGACACAATGAGGTCACCCCTCAGCCTTCTTTTCTCCAGGCTGAACAAGTCAAGGTAAACACGTCTCAGCTTTTCCTTCATCCACAATCCCAGTCACATCATAGAATCATAGAATCACTCAGGTTAGAAAAGACTCTCAAGATCATTGAGTGCAACTGCAACCCAACCATCCTACCTTAACACTAACAACCTTCCGTTAAATCGTGTCCCCAAGCACCACATCCCAAATCTTACTGGATTCCACTGATGGATTTTCACCACAAATGACAGCACGTTTTTCCAAACCTAATCAGATAAAAAGAAAATTCCAGACTTCCTTCTCAAAACTTCAAGTCCTTGGGAAGGGTGAATGGAGGCCAATCAGAAGTGGGGAAGAAAGGAGCTGCTAAAGTCACTTGGGATCGTTTGTCCCCAGTATAATTGAAAATAAGCATACTGCACACTGCCATGTTTGCATCCATGGCTTTTAAATGGAAAAATTGACAAGGGTTCCTTTAAAGATGTGATTTTCAAACTAAGCACCGACCAAGCAGAAATCACTTATGTGGAAAGAGTCCTCCGCTGACATACCTCAGCAGAAGTGAGCATCTGCTTCTGGGTGTTCCCACCAGAAAAAAAGCAAACGTAGAACAGAATCCATTCACAGACCTCCTGCTGCAAGCAGCTGTGGTTGTCTGGAGCACAACTGAGAGCAGCAGATGATCTCAGCTTCATTTTAAATCCCTTAAAGACAGGACTGAAAATCCTGGAGTTGTGCAAAGATGTAATTGTGAGTGAGTCATCAAAGAGCTGAACAGACTCCTTGATAGACCTCATCACTGTGAAGCCTTGGGAGCCTGAAACGCGAGTCTGAGCACCGGCAAATGCCAGCTTGCAGATGGAAATGATGGCAATATGCAGATCTGAGAACAGTACCAGAGCTGTGAGTGGATTTCTGCTGCAAAGGGAACTGACTTTGAGGCCTTGGGAGTCTGAAATGCAAGACAAAGAGCATCAAAGGATAAACAGGAGGTTCTTCTGCATGTGCTGTTCATCTTTTCACAATTGAGAAATCTTTCATCCTCTATCGCTGCTGTTTGGAACAGTTCAGGGCCAATTCACTGATTTGAATTTAAAAGGGGATGGTATGTAAGACGTGTGTTGAACACAAGAAAGGAGTTCTGTTCTGATACTGCAAAAAACTGAGAGAGCTCTCTAACTGGACTGAGCACCGACAAATGCCAGCTTGCAAACAGAAATGATGGTAATACCCAAATCTGAGAACAGCATCAGATCTGTGTGTGGATTTCTGCTTCGAAGGGAACCGACTTTGCGACACTCCCACTGTCCTTCAGCACTGAGAAAACTGAGTGTGAACAACTTAGGGAAGGATGGATGCTCTGTTCAAGATCTCAGCACAAACCCCTGTTGTTTTTCCCCACGTCCACCAACTCTATAAGTGCTGTAGTCTGAAACTGTTTGGTTCTAAAATTCATTGTGGAAAAACCAGGGGAAAAAAAAACCAAACTCAGAGGAGTTGTAGTGTTTAGAATGAATGAAAGGATAGTGATGCAGAACTATAATTCTGGAGCAATCGTGGGGCTCAGGACCACAACAACCCATTTGCACTCACAGTGCTGCGGAGCATGTCGGCATCTCTGAATTTTTGAGCTGTTTTTTCTCTTGAAAACTTAGAGATTAATACATACAGAGGTTGTTTGTTTGCCCCTTCCCAGGCACGTTTGCTTTCTGCTCACTCTTGGACACCACATCCAAATGGAGTTTTTAATATTTGGGCATTGCAGCGTCGGCTGGGATAAAAACAAGAAGGCTTTGCGTTGTCTGAACTGAGAGGTGACTGACCAGGTTACTGAGACATGACTTGATCGACACACGTGTTAGAATACGTCATTTCTTTCTGGCTTGACCTTTCAGTTCAGATCTTAATAAATCAGAGGCCAAAATGTGTGACTTTCCCCAGGTCCATACAGCCTCATAGAGCATTAAGCATAGCACAGCTGATGGGCTATGAGTGAGTCTGGGCAAGACTGACATCGCCTTCCCCCTTCCCCTTCCCCTTCCCCTTCCTCTTCCCCTTCTCCTTCTTATTTAACCTGCAGAATTCTGACTTCAATATCGTTAATGAGGCACAGAGCAATCATAGGAAGGATAATATGCAGTGTAATACAGCAACTAAGACTAAATTGCAAGTACAGACTTCAAAAAGCTGGGGAGAAGGGAACCCTCGTTTCTTGCCCTGTGATGATGTGACATGAATCCCCACACACACTTCTCTATACTACATAAACTTTGATTCCTACTGTAAGATGCAGTGGGTTGTGGGATGTTGCAGCAAATCTAGAGGTGTCACATCTGGAAGTGTCTGAGCCAATACCGGATGCCAGCACTCAGCCAAATGCTCATTGTAACTATTTGGGCATATTTCACCTACTCTGGGTATTACTTTCTCCACAGGAGTTTTCTCAGGGCGATCCTCACTTCCCTATTCCTCATACTGTAGATGACAGGGTTAAGCATCGGGGTCAGAGCCACGTAAAACAGGGCAAGGTATTTGTCAGTGTCTGCGGAGCGGTGTTTGAAGTACAGGACCATGGCTGAGCCATAAAAGAGTGTCAGCACCGTGAGGTGTGAGGTGCAGGTGGAAAAGGCTTTGTGTCTGCCTGGAGCAGAGTGCATCTTCAGAACCGTCCCGATAATTCTAACGTAGGAAGCGACGATGATGGAAAAGGGAAGGACGGCAAATAGCAGGATGACAGCGTGCAGGGTCACACGGCTCCAGAAAGTATCTGCACAGGCCAGCTCCAACAGAGAGGGGACATCACAGGAAAAATGATGATGATGGGATGCACAGAAGGGCAGGGAGAACACTTGATAGGTCTGGCCCACTTGTATTGGTATGCAGCCATCCATGAGCCAACCACCAGCTGACGCAGAACCCCCCATTCATCACCAGGCTGTAGTGCAGGGGGTCACAAATGGCCACATAGCGGTCGTAGGCCATGGCGGCCAGCAGAAGGCACTCAGTGCTTCCCAGCAAAACCAGGAAATACAGCTGGGCAGCACAGCCAAAGAAGGAGATCCGGACATCTCCCGTCAGGAAACACACCAGCATTTTGGGGAGAGTGGCCGATGCGTAGCTGATCTCCAAGAAGGACAAGTTTCTCAGGAAGAAATACATGGGGCTGTGGAGGCTCAACTCCACCACTGTAATCAGCACAATCAGGCCATTCCCAATGACAACTGTGACATAAACAAGCAGGAAGATGGTGAAGCACATGCCTGGCAGCCTAGGGTGATCATTAAACCCCAAAAGAAATGCAGGTCCAGCAGTGTGATTCTTCAGGATATTTCTCTGGGGCATCTTCTCTGCATAAAACAACACCAACAATACTCGCTTAGAGAATGCCCATCCACCACCATGTACAGCTCCAACACACAGCCTACAGACAGCAGAGCAAAACGGACTTCAGGATTAAGAGACCTTGACCAAAATCTGAATGTAGATATGGCACCCTAACTTGGTATTCTGGGCAGATTCAAGATGGCAGTCAGGCACACCCAGTTGAGCATAGGGTCAAAAGTTCCATGTTTGGTCCTTCTTGAAAAGTCCCCTATGCAATGCCCTGACGATGCAGCGCAGCTGTGAGCCCCCAGCCCTGTGCAGCATCTCTAGCAGCAGAAAGCCTCTACACATCTCCCTGCAGCTCCCTGGCTCTGCTGGACAGCCCTTTACACTTCCATAGGGATGGAATCCAGATAAATCAGTTGAGGCATCTTATCCTCAGGTTGTAGTCCTGGGTCCTGCAGTGAGTCAGCTAAATTCCATGCCTCCCACACACCCAGCCAGACCAGCACTGACCACACATTTGGCCACAAGCAACTGGTCTCCTTCTTCCCTCCTCTTCCACAGGGTTCTTTCTCCTCCATCTACATTAATTCCCATCTTTGTCTGGTGCAGTCACTATCCCCTTATCAGCTCTCACTGACTACATTTCCCTCTTGCATCCCCACAATGCTATCCCCATGCTGGCTGAGCCTCCCTCTCCCTGACAGAGCTGCCATCTGTGTCACAGGGGTTGTGCCGCACTCACTGACATCTCTGTGTCTGCTGTAATAAAAAATACCCTTAAATATGACAACTCCTTTTTAAGACAGTGCTCCTGGAAAACTTTGTCCGTAACACTGAGACCTCCCTCATGAACAGTTCAAGTCTTGAAGACTTGAGGGAAATGCCTTGTTAGGTCTTTCTGCACTGTAATGAGCCACACAGCAAATGTGGTGTGCATGAACTTCAGGTACTGAGAGAAGACGGCTGCAACCAAATGATGAAGGTGCAGTCAAAACACTGTCCAGAAATGTTGGAGAGTGTTGGAGTATTAATTGGTCCCTGTGGAGCCATTACCAACAAAGCCTCCCCACATCCATGTTAGAGCAGATAATTGGAGGTCGTGTATCCTGGCAGGCAAAGGCCCTGTGCAGGTGCTTTCAAGCTGAGGAAAGCCCTTGATATGTCTGATGCAACAGAAGGGTAGGGCTATAGCTGCAGCCTCTGGGAAGGGTGGTCCTGTCCCTGATGGCCCAAGGCTCTCATATGGTCAGTGGGATGTGGGTGTGGAGTGTTCTGTGAGCGAGAATGATAGGACACCTCCCTACAGGGCTGTAAGGAGGCAAGGAGGCCCCTGTGGCACAAGGACAACGTGTGCCCTTGTCACGGAGTTGACCAGATCAATCTATGTCCGTGATAGAGGCAACAGGCCTCTGCCCTCCCCCCTCCCACCCCAGTCCCACAAAAATGGGAAGGAAGGAAGGGAGGAAAAGAACAGCGGCAACAATCTAGGGAGGAAAACTTATTTTACTATAATATTGGAATACAAGATAACAAAATGTAATACCATTTAATTGAAATTGAGATTAATAAATCAGACAAGATGAGAGAGAGAGTTCCCAGGACCGAGTTAAACCTGAAAAGCTTGGAATGGCTAGGAATGCACCCTCCAGCACCCACTGCAAGGCAGCAAGAGAGCGCCCCCCCCACCGGAATGCCAGGTCCCGTGACTTCTGTGATGTACAGGGATAGGTACCTGGAATTGGAGCATTAACACTTTAATGCCCCAATGTGTGATGAGCTCCCAGCTGTGGACAGACCTCTTCCTACAGTCACGGCACTCACTGGGACTCTCCTCTTGGGTTGGTTCTCTGGCGTCTACTTTCCTCCCATCTCCCTGCTACTCAACTGGACTGCGAATCTCACCTCAGCGTTGTGGTGAGGCCTACCCACCTTTCGGATATTCTCTCTCTCATATTGTATTTATTAGCTTCAATTCTAAATTGTATTGTATTATGATGTGTTATCTTGCATTCCGATACTGCATTTAGTAAATCAGTTTGTTTCTCCTCAGGTCGTTGCCGCTGTTTTTAATTTTTTTGGGTTCCCCTATTTCCCTTTTTTCCAGGGGCACAGATTTTGTGAAATCCCTCCACCCGCTGGTCATAGAACTGGGCCAAACCAGCCCATAAACTGTTGACAGGAGCTCTGCAGGCTCTGTATCTTGTGTGGCTGTGCTGGTAGGTAATGAGGTTGGAACTGTTTCTGAAGGTTCCCCGTATCCTGGGGATGCTTTACAGCCTGTGTGCACTGTGGATGTGCTTGTGGGTGTTGAGATTAGACCTGCGTTTGAAGCTTTTCTCACACTCAGGACACTTGAAGTGCCTCTACCCTGTGTGCTGATGGCACTTCAATTCAGAATTCCTTCTGAAGCTCTTCCCACACTCGGGACATTTATAGGGTCTTTATCTTGTGTGGATGCACTGGTGGCGTTTCAACTCAGAACTGCTTTTGAAGCTTTTTTCACACTCAGGACACCTATATGGTCTCTCCTCTGTGTGGATGTGCTGGTGGCGCTTTAAATCTGAATAACTTTTGAAGCTCTTCCCACATTCAGAGCACTTGTAGGGTCTTTCTCCCGTGTGCAAGTGGTGGTGGTACGTGAGGTGGGAATGGGTTTTGATGATCTACCCACACTCAGAGCACTTGTAGGGTCTCTCCCCTGTGTGCAAGCGCTCGTGTTGCTTCACTTGAAAAATCCTTGTAAAAGCTCTTCCCACACTCAGAGCACCTGTAGGGTCTCTCTCCTGTGTGGATGCGTTGGTGGTATGTGAGTTGGGATTTCTTCTTGAAGCTCTTCCCACAATAAGAACACTTGCATAGGCTCTCTGTTGAGTGAATGCACTGGTGGTAAACAATGCTGGAATCTTTTTCAAAACTATTTCCACTCTCAGTGCAGGGATTCTGCATTTCTTTCTGGCACACATTCTTGCTCCTGGGTTCTTCAGGCTCCTTTTGACCTACGTTGAAGTCCAATGGGCTCCTCCCTGTCTTTCCCAAACCCTTTCCCAGTGACTCCATGATCTGCTCACCCTGACCTTGCTCCAGGCCTCCTTGGACATCCCTTCTGATTTCTTCCACACAGACACCACCCCACCGCCTTTTGGCCACACCACTTTCCTGCAGGTCCTCCAGTATATCTGTAATCCCAGTTTCTCCTGGATGAAAGAGGAAATCCAGAAATAGCACACAGTGCCCAAAATAAAACACAGAGATGGCTCTTCCAGACCCAACCTCCTCCTTCCCTCCACCACCTCATCTGGGCTGAGGTCTCCTGGCATGGCCTCAGGGCTACGCACATCTGGGATCCAGGGCTCTTCCCCTCTTTCAAGCAGGGAGATCACCATGGGTTTGGGGGCTCGAGGTGGAGCTTCAATGGAAGAAATATGGAGATAAGAGTGTTTCCCAGAATCTGGCATAGCTGCTTAACCAGCAACTTTGCAGTACATCCATCACCATGATGAAAACAAGATTAGGGCCATAATAACAGTGGGCAATCACATACCCATTAGAATGTTTCCTTTAATATTTTCCAAACAGCTCAGTGCCCAAGGCTTCAAAAATGTACATGGGAATGGACTAGATGATCTTGGAGGTCGTTTCCAACCTTGCCATTCAATGATTCCATGAATGGAAAATAGAGGCAACAAATGCAGAAGTAACAACCTGGAAGTGATCTGTCTGTTGGGGCTGGTGGCACCATGCAATGTAGCAACACAAGGGCTGTTTGCAGGGAGCTGGTTCTCCTGCTCCAGGCTGATGCTTACTTGCCAAAACTGACACTGGGGCTTTTATCAGTCTGTTGCGCATACTAACCCATTCTGATAGTCATGCTTCTCAGTCTTTCCTTTGTTGCTGTTGTAGTTGTCAATATGTAACTACATGGCAATTTTACTAACTCCAGCCTGCAGAGGCTCATTCTGCACAGCCAAAGGCGCCCTAACGAGGAGGAAAGGCAGCAAAGCCCTCACCCAGCGAGGCCACGCACTGGTACGTCTCCAGCATCACGTCCCGGTACAGCGCTCGCTGCGCAGGGTCCAGCAGCGCCCACTCCTCCCTGCTGAAAGACACGGCCACCTCCGCAAAGCTCACGGGCTCCTGCAAGTAAAGAGGCTCCTTGCTGGGAACAGCCAAGGCTCAGGGAAGCAGCTCACACAGGACACAAACTCCCGTCCCAGCCGCTTCTCTGGCCCCAGCACACACACGCTGGCTGAGGCCACCTCCCTCTCCCCCTGCATTCACATCCTTCGCTCCTCGGCCTCTCCTGCCTGCTTCCCCCAGCCCCCACCTGAGATGGATGTGCTGTGGCCATCTGCTGCTCACCTGCAGCTGAAATGATCACGGCTGGATGGCAGAAATTGAACTGGAGCCTGCAGGGACAAGAGAAATGGCAGGGGAGCTGTGAGGGAACGCAGCAGTCCCTGTCCCAGCCCAGCCCTCCACAGCCCATCTGCAGGGCACTGCCTGGGGGATGGCACAGCAGGCCTTGCACAGGAACACAAGCAGCAACAGCACTGGTAACGCTCTGGCTGAAGCTGATTACAAATCACAAAGCTGACTCCAACTGGGTGGCACAAAGAACTGACACCACGTTCAACAGCTGAGGGTACATGGACTGTATGCCTAAAGACAATGCATAGCAAAAAGGCAGTCATCTTACCCCTAAACAGGGAGCAGCCCAAGTGCCCCTTGTGCTCTCCTGCACAGGTGCACGACAGGACCTCCCCACAATCAGGGATGGCTCTCAAGGATACACCTGTACAGAGATCCCACTAGGCTTCATGTCAGGACACCTTGCTGACACAGATCTTCTGTAAGAGACTCATGCTGTAACGCTGCCAGGGCCGCTAGAGGCAGATGTTACCTGCTGGGTCCCCGAAGGGAAACTACGGGCTGCCCGGGACGGGGGAGTGGAAATTCCCCCCTTGGAGGTTTCACATTCAGACACTCAAAGGGAGGCTTCTATCAATGAATCCATAGC